AACACAAAGATAAACACATGTGATATCTAAGAATGATTATCGTTGTTAGCAAATCTTGTTGTGACTTCAATCATTCTATCTGCAGATGAACAGAATGTCATGAAAACCTAGGTCATTAAAGGATGTCATGAATCACCTGCTTAAACATAAAGCATCAGTTCTAGCACAGTGACCATGATTAAACAAAGTATGGAAACTTGTTTAGCCACGAGAGGGCGCTGTTACATCAATGAGTACTTGGGGAAAAAATTATTTACTGTTTTTTAGGAAACGCTGTACAAATAGATTTTTAAAGATAAGTCTAACTAAAAAAATGAAGTGGAGAAAAAAATTAACAAATTAAAATAAACTGAGACAAAAACTATGTTAGCTGATATTTTCTGTAGACTGGATAACGTCTGTTCCAGACATCTTTATTTCTCCATGAACACACTTTAGGTTATATTTTTTGTATTGTTAAAATGCAAGTGAGTACTACCAGACACACGTAAGCAAAATGCTTTCATGACTGCATCACATATTCAGATAAATAAATATTGACGTGTGAATTAAATGTGATTTGCATCTTTAATATAACATGAATAAAATTTTTACTTGTAGCACAAAAGCGGGGCATTTAAAATACAATCATCAGATATTACCTCAGAGGCAAGTGTATACTTAATATGATATTTAAAATGTAAAAAATAAATAAATAAAACGTGATTTAGGCACAGACAGACACACACTAATATAATTTATTGAACATTTTTGAAAACAAGCTCACATCAATGTCCAACGTAGCATTCACATTAAGGCAATGGTTTAGTGTCAGAGCACAAATTATGAAAAGAAAATAAAATAAAATAAGGCTGTTGTACTTGCCAGATGAAAAAATCAAACAAAAATGATCATTAAATATGTTTTTTTTTTTGGTTTGTGTTTTCCTTTAAAAAGTCTACATTTTATAAACAATACTTTGGACATAGCCATAAATACATGAATGTTACATTTAAAGTACTGTGAAAATATTCTAAAGTGATGGCAACTGTATTCAGTATGTTACCTCTGTAAACCTGCAAAAAAAACTTGGAAAAACAAAATATGTCAGAGGAGTAAAATGTGCTCAAACATAATCTGCACATTTTATAGATGTCATCAATAACTTTAAATCTACCATTTGTCAAACAGTGACGTAAAAATTAAGCTTTTTGTGATGTGCCTGGTCATTGGTGGCATTTCATTGCTATTTAATGAATCTTATATTTATATCATTCATATATTTATTTCTTTATTTGTTTACCTCAGTGCAGTTTATTCTGATTCATTTCCCTTTACTTTTTCCCAGACTGGCAATGTCCTTGTTCTCCAGGATCTCAGTCTTGAGCTCAGGCTGAAGCACGGTGTTGGACACGATCGCTTTCGCCACCACCTGAACAGGGATGGCCATGGAAGTGGAGCAGACAGCAGAGACGGCGCCGAAGAACTTGCGAATAACCCACTCGCCAGGTCGACTCTCCTGTCTGTCCACCAACAAAACCCTGTTTGAGAAAAAGATAAAGTTAGGAATAGCTTGAAAAACTGGCCAAGACTTTTTTGTTTTGTTTTGTTTTCTTCCCATTTAATGTCAAAWGTCAGTGACTGAAAGTCAGTCAGTGAACTCAGTGGTAATGCTCAGGATAAATTTAGATAAATAACATAATTTCCTTTGAAAACTTATCTGTTTTCAGAGATATCTGAGCAAGAATTTAGCAGTGGCCAAATTGATGGGATATAATTTATTTACTTAATACCACCTTCAATATGATTATTTTTGGTATTCCTGTTTTCTGTCTATTAAAATCTACAGTATGAAGAAAATATGAACACTCACCCTGGTCTGTAAATGGAAAACCTGTCAAAACCAAGTGCCTCAATTTCTGCTTCCACTTGTCCCTAGAAAATAAAGTTCATTCAAAGTTACAAAAAAACACAGAAGATTCAAATGTGATTWAAAAAAAGGAAAAAGCATTTCAGTATAGCGTGCAAAACAGAAGGTAACAATGAAAAATAGGAGACAACAGTTCAATGCAAACTTTATTACAGCAAGTGTGCCATTACGCCAGACACCATTACATGTTTKATACCTCACCCTATTTTTTTAAACAGTTTGTCTTACTCGGTCAACACAGCACCCTCTAGTGACAAGACGTAATAACAGCAACAGAACATACACGCATTCAGTGTGTGAGTCTAAAAACACAACAGCAGGGTAGTAAAATACCTTGACTTTGAGGTAGAGGAAGTTGCTGTTTTTATCTGCTCCTCTGGAGGACTCCAGGTGGAACTGAGAGCAGCCTCCAGCCTTGGCAAGTTCAGCAGATTTCACAACATAGTCATGGTCCACTCTGACAAACCCATCCTTAAAAGAAAAAACTGTAAAGTTAAAGACAAGATGAATTTTTTTTAATATGATGGCACTTTGTTACTAATAACCTGGTGCCAAAACATWTATAATGTTTTGAAATAAACTCTTAAGTCATAATTAAGGGTGTACTGATTATTGTTTCATAAACACCATGATGATTCCCACAAAAATGTCCAGAAAAAAACAATTGGTGGGTTATAACGCCTGTGTGACTAATTACCACAAGAGCCAATTTAGTAAACAGTGATTCTTCATTCTGCTCTTAAAGAATAATAAATATTAACATATAGCTTTTTTTAGCTAAAGTTGTTTAGCTTCCTGAACAGATTGTAAAATAAAGCTGACTGTTAAAGTTTTTAAAGGTTGACCATGCAACACCTGTTTCAAACCCTTGCAGGTTCTGTAAGATAGGCTACTTTTCACAAATACTGTAATAATGTGTATATCTAATAATTTATAAATGATCTCTGGTTTGTTATGTGTCAAAACATTATTGTGATAAAATGGCATCACTCCTCACTAATGAAGGAAAACACTATTTCTGCCAAATACCTGTTAATACTATTGATTTTGGAACAAATTAAACTTTAATAATATAAAAAGTACAGTAGATATAAATGTAGTGCACTGTGAGAAGATATAAACTCATCTGTTTAGTTTTTCTGCAMTAATTAAACTTTAGTGTTATAGTTTTTAAAAGGTGATTATACTTATTTATTATTTTTCTTAATATTTAAAGTGATGGAGCAGTCTGTTTTTTTATTCATCCAGTAAAGTGCAGTTCTTTTCTTGTTCCTTAATCTAGGATTATAAAACACTTTATATGGCACTTTAGATGCAAAATGTCACAAAAGATCACCTGTTTGACATGATGACTAAAAGAAACGTTGAGAAATGCGTAAACCTGAAGTGTTTTAATCCCACTGTGAAAGAATCACTACTTGTGACTTAGGAAAAAAGTAAAGAARCATAAAACTAATAATCTGCAGGAATGTTGGGCAACTTTTATTAGCAGAGAAAAATGTAAGCTCCTCATAAAATTTGCTTTTCTCTTTTGGGTTTTTGCAATTATTCATTTTACTGTTGAATCTTTTTTTTATTCCAACTCCTAAAAGAAAATAAGCAAGACTTAAAAAAAAATGTGTTACTCGTTTTAGCATCAAATTCTTGTAAAGTCTTGGGTTATAAATCCACCGTAGTTGTTTCCTGCTCAGGGAGCCTCTTTAGCCTCTCTATAAAACCTCCTGGTACAGCTGCTCACTTCACACTGCTCTGTCAAGCTGTATGYGCTCGTCTGCTGAAATAAAGAAAAAGCTTCACACGTCTCTCCAACAGGAGTTTGCAGGGTTCCAGCTTGGCTCAGTCAAACTGTGAGCAGCAGTCTGCTGACATCAAAATCTCTTGCACACAACACCCGGGGTCACCCGCCTGGAGCTGTGGCCGGGGTGGGTCCAAAAACTGTACAAAGTCTGTAGTACAGAGTTTGAATTGAAAAAGCCTCCTAGATGGGAAGTGAAACGTGTTCAACTTTAGAATTGAAAGTCCAGTTCTTTTTTTTTTTTTTTTGATTGATCGTGACCTGGATAGGTGAGAATCTTCACCTGCATGTACAGGAACTGGAAATGGAGACACATCTGGCCAAACCTGAAGCGCTTCAAGTCACGCCCGTGGAGCAAGATCTAAAGATTAAAGGAGTGGCTCCTGACATAGAGGTAATGCCAGACACTCCTAGMTATTATTTATTCACCTTTATTTAAACAGGGAAATCTCATTCATATCACTGCTCTCTTTTACAAAGGTCTGAACCTGAAGGCAGCCTGCATGTTTCTGGACTCTGGGAGTAAACTGGAAAAAAGCTTACACAAGTATGAGGAGAACGTGAACTTCACACAGAAAGACCCCGGGTCTAAACTGGGTATCAAACCAAGAACCTTCTCGCTGTGAGACAGCAGCACTAACCACTWCACAGACAACTGCTTAGTCCTTGTTAATAATAAACCCACCAATAGATAAAAGAACATGATTTAGCTGACTAATCAAAGTGTCACTCTGGATTATTACTTACAGCTCCTGCTTTTGCTCTGGTTGTTCCCAGGCAGCAGTAGCCCACATCATGACCCTTGAAGGCAGCAGCATAGTCTTCAAGCTTTTCAAAGTCCACCACCTCCTGCACCTGCAGACCAAAACAACAAGTGTTGAGTTAAATGGAAACGGGTCACTTCCTGCAGAGGGTGCATCAGGTCACTGACCAGGTTTCCAAACGCTTTGTCTTCAAAGCTCAGCTGCCTGCGTCCGATCAGGGTGATCTTGGAGAAGAGGTTTCGCTCCAGCAGCTCCTGGAGCAGCACCCTGCCCGTTTCTCCAGAAGCACCGAGAACAAAGCAGCTCTTGTTCTGGTGCCTGAAGGTCTCCTCCAGACTCTTCAAGTCCTCAGCCATGCTGTGGAGCAGATACAGGTAAATCTGTTGACACCATGTGTGTGTGTGTGTGTGTGTGTTTGTGTGTTTGTGAAGGTAGGCTATGCCAGAATGAAACATATATCAATATGCACTTTTATAAAACTGTCAAACTTTGTTCACCATCTTAATAATTATTAAAGAGGAAGCTTGTTGGGCGTTTTGAAGAAAATCTAAACACTCACATCAGTATTTGTAATGTAAACAGACACTGTAGCTTAGCATATATTCGCGACACATAATCCCACTAACAGCTCGCTGTTTACCTCGTATATTTCACCGAAGGACCGTCGTCGAAATAACTGAAGACAGCAGCAATTACAAGAATTATAGCAGCTAAACGCCAGCTCACTTTCCCCAAGCTGGTCCCTAGGAGTTTCATTACACACCGCTGGATACAGCTGGAGGAGCACTTCCTGGTTGTGCTCCTCCTGGTTGTMTATAGATGTCTTCCTGCTTCGTCAGTCAGCTGGATTAAAAAAAAAAAAAGAAATCATCGTCACTTGAAATGTCGTACTATACAAATAAAACAGACTCGATTCTACACGTTGTAAAAGTAAAAACAAAAAAATCTGTAATTTCTGACGTTCTCCTTCATAGAAAGCGCTGCGTAGATCACGCATGCGCACTGACTTTAGACGTCTTCAGGACGCAGAGCGCTCCTTTAGAGTCTTTCCATTTTTTCCTTTCCCCCCTCTCTCTGTCCCCCCTCATCCATTTATGAGCTTTTCTCCTGTCAAGAATATAATACTGTTTCGATGATAGGTTTCTCAGTCCACATTTTTTTGTAATTTCAAAACAACTTTTAAATAAAAGTAGTTTTATGTGCTTAAAATGAAACCACCTASTATCTGTTAATATGCTACTGTTATCCAATCCATTTAAGGCATTATAAAAATGCTCTCCAACTACGCGTTTGTTTTTAAAGCACTAAATTACAAACAGTGGTGGGATGTAACAAAGTACAAGTACTTTGGTGATGTACTTAAGTATATTTTTCATGTATATGCACTTTACTTAAGTAGATTTCATCATGGGTACTTTTGACTTTTACTCCACTACATTTTACATCAAGTATCTGTACTTTCTACTCCACTACATTTCTGTAAAGTGTTGAATTACAAATTACATTCAAGTCACGTCGTAGTTTTTTCTTTGTTTTTTTTTTTGTTTGTTTGTTTGTTTGTTTTTGTTTGTTTGTTTTTCAGTTTGAAATTAATCAATGGCGAGAGGGGAATAGCTGTAATTTGTCCATTGAACCACTGCAAAGCAATTTTATTCAATTCAGTTTATTTATATAGCGCCAAGTCATAACATACGTTGTCTCAGGGCACTGTACATAAAAAGAACAATCTGAAGAAGAAGCCAGCAGATTGTGTTGAATCACTTCATCACAGTCTCCCAGGCTGAGCAAACGGTGGAGAGGAAAAACTCCCTGCTAATCAGGAAGAAACCTCCAGCAGAACCAGGCTCAGGACAGGCGGCCATCTGCCTCGACCGACTGGTTGAGGGACAGGAAAGAGACACAGACAAACACTGAAGAACCGGTCCGGGACTGGTCCAGGTGCACCTTCTCCTGTAAGAGACAAAGAAAAAACATGATAGAAATAATTACAATAAACATGTAGAGGAGAATATAGATGACAGCAGAGTGAGGAAATGTGCTCAGTTTGTGCTCCAGCAGTCTAAGTCTATAGCAGCAGAAATGAAGAATAATTCAGGAAACTTAAGTCTAATTATAGGATTTATCAAAAAGGAAAGTCTTCAGTCTAATCTTAAAAGTAGACAGAGTGTCAGCCTCACCGACAGAAACTGAACTTGGTTCCACATGAGAGGAGCTTGATAACTGAAAGCTCTGCCTCCCATTCTACTTTTAGAAACTCCAGGAACCACAAGTAAACCTGCAGTCTGAGAGTGAAGTGCTCTGTTAGGAAACTATGGAACAATAAGATGTTTAATATAAGATGGAGCTTGGTTGTTAAGAGCTTTGTATGTTAGGAGTAATATTTTAAATTCTATTCTGAATTTGACAGGGAGCCAGTGGAGAGAATCTAAAACTGGAGAAACATGATCTCTYCTTCMAACTCTCATTAAAACTCTAGCAGCAGCATTTTGGATTAACTGAAGACTTCTTAAAGAGTTTTTTGGATGCCCAGATAATAAAGAATTACAGTAATCCAGTCTAGACTTGATAAATGCATGAATCAGGTTTTTTTTTTGTCATTTTTGGACAAAATGTTTCTAATTTTAGTGATATTACAAAGGTGGAAGAAGGCGGTTCTGGTAACATTTTTAATGTGGAGGTTAAAAGACATGTCCTGATCAAAAATAACACCAAGGTTCTTTACATTAGAACTGGAGGCCAGATTAATRCCATCCAGAGAAGGTGAAAGGCTGCAAAGWTGATCCCTAAGATGCAGGAAACTACCATACTTCAAGAAGACAAATTACAATTTCTCGTTACCTTATTCCATTCCAAGTGTGTCTCAGAAATGGCCACAGTATGTATAATAAACTTCAGTAAAACAGAACATAACTCGCCAGCTTTCTGTTTTAAACTACAGAATTACAAAAACCGAGTTCATGGATGGTTTAAAAAGCAATGAGCAACTATACTACATTTCTAACTCCTGGATCTGATCCATAGACCTCTGTCATTCTCTGGTGCATTTTTTTTTTATTTTGTTTTAAAGAAAACCTTACAGTTGATATTCCATGATGTATATTATATGTATTAATCATGCCGAACTGAAAAAAATGAACCTCACCTTATCTGGTTCTGATTTTGACCCAAAGAAGTTTCCCATTCAGATGTACATCCGTTAACAAGTTTACCACATTTGAAGGTGACAGGTGCAGATGGGATCACTCCTGTCCAAACRTGTACAATTACTTTAAATGGCACTAAATTTCAGTCTGGATCGCGCGTGAAGGCCAAACACTGAAAATGTATTTAGCCTTTTGTCAGACCTACAGGGGGTTTCATTTGCCAAAACCTGCTCACAAAGAAAGCAAGTCCAGTCACATGCAATGAATTCATCAACGCCCCATGTTTTTAACACCCCTGCCACTTTGAACACAAGGCATCGACCCAATCTAATAGAAAATGATGCAGCCAGGGATGATCCTTTAAAGATGTCAGCAGTAAAAGACAGAAAGAAAAGAGGCTGAGTTTGAGAGAAGAGGCCTTAAACTGGCACTCTGCTGAAATGAAATGTCGCCTCTTTGTTCCTGATCCGCGGGTTCTAATTGGGCCCAGCGGCAGGGAAGAAAGCTGCCACTGTGCTCCTGTCTGTCGCACCTGTTGAGTCATTGTCTCTCACATTGATTTGACAGGAAGTTGGAGTAAGAAGGCTAATGCCTCACTGGGTGCGTGGCAGAAACGTGGTTCAATTTCCTTTTAGAGCTCCTCTGCTGGAGATGGAAATACCAATAGTGGTCAGTGATCAATAGCATTTAACCATTGATTGAAACTAAAAAAAAACATGGATTCTGAAGAGCCATTTCTTTTTCTCATCAGATTTCTTATTCTCTTTCTTAAGGCAACTCTTCCCACATGCTCCTCAACATTGCGTAATAGTTTAGATTCTTCTGTCACACTGTCCACTTATCACTCACAGAGGTGTTCTGACTTGTTCACATGTTTATCAACATATTTCTTTAACTGTTAGTCATTTAGACATAAGGAATGTTGAACTTCATTAATTTCTTTTACCTTATAACCAAAGATGTATCTAAATGGGATAAAACATATTTTAGAATTAAATTTGAATGTAAAGATATGATTACGTGGCAATTTTTGGTGAAAGCTACAGATAATCGGTACAATCTAAATTAAAAATTTAAATAGTAATGGCCAGATACTACTTAAACATTTTTATTTCAGCTACATGTGAGCCCACACTAAATTTGCTCTGAGGCTAAAGGTTGATTTGTTTTCTGCTCTRTTCTCCCAAACTCATCTCGATCAATCAATCTATTTCTATAGTGCATTTAAAAACAACAGTGTTGACCAAAGTGCTTCACAGGGAGAACAAACACACAATAAAAAGCAAAAGATTAATAAAACAGGATGAAAAACTAATGAACACATGTTTTAATGGAACTCAAATCATACTTGAGTTAAAAGTCAGGGTATAAAGTGAGTTTTCAGGCACAATTTGAAAGACTGAACAGMCTCTGCTGTACAAATCTCAAGAGGTAGGTTGTTCCAARGTTTGGGGGCCRCCACTGCAAAAGCTTGAWCCCCTCTGCGCTTCAGATTAGCCCTAAAAGCATCTGACAGTGGTCCTCAATCGTGGTCCTTGAGGGCCACTATCCTGCATGTTTTAGTTGTTTTAGTGCTCCTCTGCAWATCTTGAAGTTTTGCAAAGGCCTGTCAAGCATTCATTCATTCAAATCAGGTGTGTTGAAGCAGAGAAATCTCTACAACATGAGGACCAGGATTGAGGASCACTGGACTARAGGATCTAGGTTTGGGTTGTGAAGGTGCAAAGGTTCACTAAATAGCTACGTGCCTTTCTATTTGAAATTTAAGCAAAAATAATTTTAAAGTCAATGCAAAAAAAACAAACGGGCAGCGTAAGTCAGATAGAACAGCAGCAATGTGGTCCTGCCTCCAGGTGCCTGTTAAAAAGTGTTCTGGACTAACTGCAGACGATGGAGAGATGCAGTGGTGGGCACAGTTCCCCTAAAGCACTAAAGCACTAATAGGATAACTAATTTCCTGATTAGTGTTTCAGGGCTTTTGCTAATTTAAAAATTTATCAGAGGATTAGCACTTGCTAAATTTATAGGCTAAATTTAGAAGCACTAACTGAGGTCTTTAAATGTTATTGATCAACATTAATGTCAACAACTGAAGGTGAAAGCTGTTAAACATTTTGTTCAAATGTGTGTCACTTATCCACTAGGTGACAATCTATGAACCAAAATACAGCTGTGGAATGTCAATGATACATCTTAATAGAGCAACATGATAATATGTGACTCATGTTGTCTGTTGAAGAATGTTCATGAGATGACTGGGTTATTTTAGTGCTTTAGAATTAGGGGACCTAAATATTTGAGTTAGTGCTTTAGAATTAGGGGACCTAAATATTTGAGAGTGTTTTAGGGCTAATGGAACTAATTTTTAGATGCTGCCCACCATTCGAGACCCGCATTGAAAAAGTTGCAGGAGTCCAGTCTGGAGGTGATGAAGGCATGAATGCAGGTTGAGGTCTTTTGAGTAATTGTATGTAGTATATACAGTATAGTATATGTATATATTTAGCTTTAGCAAGTAGACATAACTGATAAAACCTGGTTTTAACAGCTGAAGATATTAGTTTCTCAAATTTAAAATAATTGTCTAAAAACACTAGAAGATTCATAATGACGGAGGAACAGTAAGGATGGGCCAAGAATCTGAGGAAACCCATGGAGAGAACAATTACTAAATAAAATAACTTGATTGTTTGAAACTCAGATTGTGACAAGCTGTTTCCTGTCTTTTCAAAAATCCTAATGTGAAGTTCTTTTTTCTTTTTTTCATATCATGACAACAACTGACTGGACAAGTATATGAAGTTCAAATATGCTTGTAAGCATGATGAATGCTGTGGAAACTAGAATTGAAATGTGGACTGCAAGACGACTCTCAGCTTGAACCCCATTCAACTCATAACTGTCAGGCAAC